CTCACTTTCCTGATCTGACAACCAGTAGACCAGCAGAATCGAATCAATTTAGAAATCCACTGAAAACAAGGAAGCACAGGATAGCTGTTTCGTTCTAGTGTGAAAATTTTCAGAAGTGCGTATCCCGGACTCCATCAATGGAGATCTGAACCAGAACCTCTAGTTTTTCACTCAAACTCTTATTCTGTAGACCACTGAATTCAAAGCCAATTATGTATGTGTCTAACTTCAATCAAATCACATTATTTTACAACACTTACACTGTTTTTGCTAAGTGACTGTTTTACACTCGACACTCTTGAAATCTACTAGTGACGACTTTTCCTTAGAGTTCGAAAACTATCCCCCGAATCTAGTTACCAGTGAGTATGTAATAATAATTAGCATAGAGGTACATGGAGCTTATTGAATGTTATTCATAACACGAACCGATTCATTGCATAGTTCAAGGATTTCTATCAAAAACTTTAATTTTAACATTTGAATTCATGAGTCGATCTAAGCTAGAACACCATTAAAAACCTGAGAGCAGCGGAATGCCGGCTCAGTGGTTTAGAGGTTGAGCGTTCATACACGAGACCGAAGGACTTGGTTTCGAGTCCCATGTGCGGGATTGTGGATGCAGTGCTGAGGAGTCTCGTACTAGAACAAAACATCCATCCATTGCTTTGAGTTTTCCAATGTTAGTCTAACGTTAATCAGTTCATGAACTCAATTAAAGCACTATCATAAGACTGTGATACCTTAAACATCATCTACAAGTATGTTGGATATTTGTAAAGCTGTTATACAAAATCTTTGTTGGGTGAGTAGTAATAACAACACGTTTCCTTAATCTAAACAAGTTCTTTATTATGAATGATTTAAAATTAGTAATTTTTAATTGTTAAAAAAAACCGGTCAAGAAGTTATTGCAGTTAAAATCTAACACCACTATATTCATAATACAATCTTAACTAGAAGCTTCTGAATACTTGAATTGATCATAAAACTTAGTGTATAGACCAAAACAATTTTAAACTACTTGTTCAATAATAAAGTTTGTATATCAATAACAGTGTTACCTATTGAAAGTAGACAATTATAAAGTTAGCAAAACTTAAAAATTAGATCAGTTATATGATGCTTAGAATAAAACTGTTAGTTGATATGTCTTGCAACCAGATTAAAAAATAAATAGTCATGGAATGTGCTACACACCGTAATATGACTTGCAGTTATAACAGATGTAAATTAAAATACATGTATAAACATGAATTGTTTATATTCATTAACATTTTCACTGAAACGTATAAAATGGTCAATAATTACAGGTCACGTAATTTGGACACAATCACTAACTGTATTGTATCAAAAACCAAATATAATTTTATATTATCACTTATAATTAAACTGATCGACATACAAATAGAGAAAATCATTCAATACCAAGTAGCACTGCCGTCTTATTGTGCTTTAAAACTCTTCAGTAGTGCCTCATTATTAGACTACATTTGATCAAATCCATGACCTACAGATTTTAAGAGGAGAGGAAATCATAATCTTAGACCACTGAATCATAATCTAACATTATTCACTTTGAATTTCGATCTGTATATGATACAGAACAATTTTTATCAAATATTATCATTGTTTACATAGCTCACGTCTTAATTAGTTAACTTCATCAATTAGAACATGGTAAAAGTTTGATAAACTTTGGTCACGTTTTATTCATACTTTTACTCATTTTAAATTGGTGAAATGATTTGGAGAATTTGGTACGATTCAACTAGAAACTACTATTATTCTAAAGAAAATTTGTCATCCAATTATTGATGTTACTGTTACGTGACAAAAACAAGAAGCCATGACCAGTGGATCTAATCCGTGTCGGGTAGAGACAGGTATCTACCTCAGTACAATGCTAGATGGTCGCGCAATTTCATGGATTGGTTGAGGTTAAACCTTAACACCGTTGAATGCCCGCCGGCTCAGTGGTTCAGTAAGTTAAGCGTTCGCACGTGAGACTGAAGGCACTGGGTTCAAATCCCGCTAGCGGGATAGTGGATACGCACTAATGAGGAGTCCCACAATAGGACGAAACGGCCGTCCAGTGCTTCTAGGTTTTCAATGCTGGTCTAACATCAATCGGTTCATGATCTCAATCAAAACTTAATAATCTCCACTACTCCTATACTAAAAAAAACGAACCCAGAAAATACAACTGATGACAAAAATATGTCTTGTCATTCTAATTCTATGACTGTTTGATTATTTTTTTTTAATTAATCACTTTCAAAATATAGACAGATTACTTTTTTTCAAAAGATTGCCAATTTTTTTTCAATTTTCAATCTGATCTGACACTAAGAAATGTGAAGTTGTATTCGAGAAAGAATAATTAGAATCAAAATGAACACATGAAAATGAGTAAACCATAATTACAGAAGCATGATTTTTAAATCAATCAACAAACAACTATATATGTTTGTTTGTTTGTTTGTTTTTTTGGCAAGTATCAAGTCTGTTAGATAAAACCGAAAAACTTTTTTCTTTGTTGTTGTCGTTTTTGTTGCTCTTGTTGTCAAAATAATCAATGTAATATGTTACACACAAAAAAAGAAAAGAATTCTGATTACCTCATTTTCTACTTAATCACAATTCTACTGTGTATTTTTTTTTTATTAAAACAAAAAAAATTGTCATGAAAACCGAGAACTATAATTGAATTATGTAATTATAAAGTGTATAACATTTTATCGTTTGACTTAAACTACCTTATTGATGTTTACATGTATTATGCATGTTGAATCGACTGTCAACTAAAGTGTATTTACTAATTTCTACTTATGCTGGCATTTAAGTAGTGGAGTCTTTTTTTCGTTGTTGTTGTTGTTGTTGTTGTTGTTAAATCATGTGAAAAATCATTATGTTTAAAATATGTTCTAGGTAATTCTTTTTTAAACGAAATTTACGTACTTAATATTTATGAAACTGAATAAACATGTACAATAAAAACATATAACATATAATTATAGTAATTTTTATAGTTGAATTCGTGAATCAATGGAAACTAGACTACCATTGAAAAGCTGGAAACACTGAACGATTGTTTCGACTGGTTTCAAGAGGAATTTCCTGAGTTTTAGTAAGAAGCAGTGACCAATGGAGTTCAACCAGGTGTGTTGTGAGATAGTAACTCACTAGATTAGTTGAAGTTAGATATTAACACTGTGTGGTCTAGAAGTTGAGCGTTGGCGCGCGAGAATGATAGGTCCTGGTTTCAAACTTCGCGAGGAGGGATTGTGGATGCGCACTGATGAGGGGTCCTATATTAAGACGAAACGGCCATTCAGTGCTTCCAGGTTTTCCATGGTGGTCTAGCTTCAATCGACTCATGAATTCAACTATAAAAACACATAATTCATAAGAGTCATTAACTATCCAATTGAAATGGATATGTTTGCTTTAGAATACTATCAATTAGTCTAGTAATATGATAGATTATACACATACTAATAAGAAGGGAAAATACTACATGGATCTATTGTAAACTGACTATATTCCTTTAATATATTTTATGAATCTCAATAAGAATAATCTTAGCTTTATCTTTGGATTTTATCCCAACATTTCAGCTGTTATTACGGTTGAATTTTGTCAATTTCAGTAAAAACATCTTGTAGAAAGATGAAGTTATTTTGGAAGATTTGAGTGTCATAGACGATATTTTGCTTTTTCTTCGAAATTGAACTTCATTAAGCATGACTTTCAGTCTGAATTACTTCATTATGCAAACGATTAGATAGAAAGTACTTTCTTTTTACAGGCTGTCTGCTTTCTAGTTTTAAATTAACTTATATTTAAATATTTTAAAATTGAATGGTTTAGTTGAAGGAAAGAAATTTTCTTAAGAAATAGTAGTGATGAAACCAAAAGAATATTCTAACAAGAAGAATTTTCATTAAAATCTTGTTGCATGATCTAGTCAAACTTCATGAGATCATTCAAAGAATTTGTCAATAGCTTTCGTACACCTCATATTCTCAAGGTCTCCTGAAGTTGTGCTAAACACTGACATACATCCTTTTCTTCTAAAACGATCGGATTCACTTTTCACCTTAGTATAGTGTGAACGGATTTGAAGACAAATTCGTTGCACAGGCTATAGATATGCTATAATACACTTTAAACAAAGTAACGGTTAATTTATGTGTTTCAAATTCATTAAACTTATTTCACTATATTTTCCATATCGGTCAGCTAAAGCGCGTTACCAACAGAACGTTCGATATAATTAAGAGCACAGATGATATTTTAAATCACTTCACGTGTATTTGTACAATACAAATAAGTCGTTAGAGATCAAGAGTAACTGTATATATCACTGTTAATACTGAAGAATATATTTATTCAGTCTCTGGTGGCATATATATTCATCCTAAGCAGATTGACTCTATACACTTCCAGATCACGGAACGAATGAACTAAACTCAAAGCAAATATGATTATGTGATGATTTTCTGTGAACACAATTGTTCGTTCTTATAGTACGGAAGAACTCATTGCATTTCATCATATTCCAATATGTTTACTTGACTGGAATTGATCCATTCTTAATTTTGATCGTATTTGTATAACAGTTTCTATCATTTTAATGGACTTTTGTTCTCACAAACTTTTACCTGAAGTTTGTGCTGATGATGTTGTTCAGAAGAACGATGAAAGTTCCACGGCCAAACTATCCAGCCCGAAGAACAAAACTCTATCAAAATCATCCACCTGAGCTACAAATCTACTCCATCACCTCATTTCCTATCATAGAACCAATTTACCATCCATCATGTATACTAGCTTCTTAACTAATATTGTTTTAGGTCACAAGATGGCTGGCTAATCAATGTTCTCTTGTATTATTGCTCATATAAGTTTCATTTAGATCATTTATTCCAGGTATGGATATTCAAATTCAAACATGGAACACTATAAATAAACCTAATTATATAAAAACCACTTACTTCCATTTCATCTAATTTCAATAATTTTTCATAAACTATTCTATCTGGTACACCAGGTTTTAAATAATCCATAATATTTCATTCTTTATTAAATACTGCAATACTAATTGTTCATCAGTAATATTCAATAAAGTATCATTTAATTTTGTTGAATTCTTTTTGGCTGATTTTTTCTTCATCATTATCAATTGTGAATTATTCAATATACTTGTAGTTGTTGTTGTCGTTTTTGTTGTTGTTGTTGTGTTCATTGATGATAATGATATAGATTTTGTTGTTGATAGACTTGTTTTAAGCGATATTTCTGTTATTGGAGAATTATCATTAGTAATATTTGTTGTGATTAAGTTTGTTGGTAAACTGTTATTACTTGTATTAATAGTAGGATTGTTCATATTAGGTTCATTTATGATTAATGAAGATATAGATTTATTGTTTTCTATTAAACTCTTGTTTATTACACAACCACGTAGATCTGAACCCTATAGATAATAGAAATAAATTAAAATGTCAAAATTGAGTTCAAATCAATTTCAGAATTTTGGAATACAAACAAACCTCATAATTCATGTTTATTTACATATGCCTATTCATTACCGGACACAACAGGGGATATAAGCTAATGTGGGTGGAGTTTGCAAGAAAAATATGGTCCGCCAAAATGTCCCAATAATTTAGGATGTCAATCAATGTTAGTCTATACTATGTTGGTAGGCAGTGGTTGAAGATGCTGAATGATATGTTTTACAATCAGTCACAATGAAACAAATGCATTCATTATTTATATTACTTTAAATAATCTGTTTCAGTATTACTTCATAAATACTTTTTCGTTTTTTCTTTAAAGTATACTCTCAATATCTTGTCTTTTTTATCATCATTCTTATTACAGTATATTGTTTCTCTGCTTCATATCTTTGCAGTTTTATTGCGTTATGTTAATGTTATATGACAGTTTAAATTAATGTACATTTAAACAAAGATGGATAGTGGCTAGCAGTGGAATCCACAACGCGCGTGTCGTCCTGTTTGGGACTCTTCAGCTGGATGTAACTGCACCTCAGAGTTGATGTTCACTCTGGGACTCGAACTCAGTATCTTTCGCTTCAAACGCCATCGCGTTATCCACTTAGCTACTGAGTCCTGATAGCCACTTGCTTGTGCAATGGGGTGAAGTTTAATTCATTTGATATTGTCTTACTTGAATCTTCTCATTGATGTTTTAGGACTGAAATTGATCAGTCTCTGCTAGTCACTATCCATCTTTGCTTAAAATGCTTGTAAATTAAGGCAATATCGAGGCATACGCACAGTATGCACATATGCCAATAAGAGACTGATCAATTTCAGTCCTAAAACATCAATGAGAAGATTCAAGTAAAACAATATCAAATGAATGATGTACATTTATGTCATGCTCTATTTTGGTTATGATTAATTAACTGATTTAGTTTATTCATAAGCGAAATGAACATGTATTCCCTTTTATTGTTATATCCATAATCAATACAGATAACGTATAAGTAAACAAATTATCTTATTAATTTCGAACAACTCAGATTACCATCAAATCAAACAGGATCATGTATACGCATGTTTGAAAAAAGCAGTTTAGAATAAACGAAACGTGTCAATTAACTTAGTTACATTATGACTTGCTTTAATCAAGACGTAACTAATAAAATCTAAGTTTGGATGTATGAAACTCCGCCTGTAGCTCTTCTAGAGTTACTACCGGTCCCAAGAACGGGTAAAGGAGGAGGGTTGGGTATGTGGTTAGCGTCCCCATCCCGTAGAAAACTAACTCGCTAAAAAAACGCCTACCAGAAAAAATAATTCAAACCATTTTAACTCTGCCCTGAGGGTTAGAAGGTCTTCATTTAGAAGAATTATGACGCTTCATGGTGAAAGCCGAGTTCCTTCGGAAGCCACGAGGCCGATGCCCCTTCTAACAACCAGAGCAAAAATTTTTATAGGTACATGGAACGTTCGAACAATGTGGGAAACCGGGAAGACCAGTCAAATAGCAATGGAAATGAGGAGATACAACTTAGCAGTACTGGGAATCAGCGAAACCCACTGGACCCAAGCTGGACAGAAAAGGCTAGCTACGGGAGAGATGCTGCTATACTCCGGTCACGAAGAGGAAAATGCTCCACACACTCAGGGAGTCGCTCTTATGCTGTCCAAAGTAGCACGAAATGCACTTGTAGGATGGGAATCTCACGGATCCAGAATCATCAAAGCATCATTCAAAACAAAGAAGGAGGGGATCATAATGAATATTATCCAATGTTATGCACCCACCAATGATAGCAACGACGACATTAAAGATCAATTCTACGAGCGGCTGCAGTCAATCATTGAGAAATGCCCAAGAAAGGACCTCATCATTCTGATGGGAGATCTAAATGCCAAAGTCGGAATAGACAACACCGGATATGAAGATATCATGGGACGACATGGACTGGGACAGAGAAACGAAAATGGAGAAAGATTTGCAAATCTGTGTGCATTCAACAAATTGGTCATAGGAGGCACAATATTTCCACACAAACGTATACACAAGGCTACATGGATCTCACCGGACCACACTACAGAGAACCAATAGATCATATTTGCATCAACAAAAAATTCCGAAGGACAATGGAAGATGTAAGAACCAGGAGAGGTGCTGACGTAGCTTCAGATCACCACCTAGTTGTAGCCAATTTAAAACTGAAGCTAAAGAAAAACTGGACAAGTGGACAAACAGCACTACAAAGGTTCAATACAGCCTTCCTTCGAGATACTGACAAACTCAATGAATTCAAGATAGCTCTCAACAACAGGTTCCAAGCCTTACAAGATCTACTGAAGAAGAAGAAACTAGTATGGAGGACAACTGGAAAGGCATCAAGGAAGCATTAACTTCAACGTGTCAAGAGGTTCTGGGCCTAAAGAAACACCATCATAAGGAATGGATCTCTATAGAAACACTGGACAAGATCAAAGAAAGGAAGAACAAGAAGGCAGCAATTAACAACAGCCGAACACGAGCAGAGAAAGTTCAAGCACAAGCTGAATACATAGAAGCAAACAAACAAGTGAAGAGGAGCATTAGAGCCGACAAGAAGAAATACGTGGAAGAACTAGCAACGACGGCAGAAAAAGCTGCTAGAGAAGGAAATATGAAACAGCTTTACGATACAACGAAGAAACTAGCAGGGAAATACAGTAAACCAGAGAGGCCGGTCAAAGACAAAGAAGGCAAGCCAATCACCGAAATTCAACATCAGCGTAACAGATGGGTGGAATACTTCGAGGAACTCCTGAATAGGCCGGCTCCAATGAATCCACCGGACATCGAAGCAGCACACATAGATCTTCCTATAGATGTCAACCCACCAACGACGGAAGAAATTAGAATGGCCGTCAGACAAATCAAGAACGGGAAAGCAGCAGGACCCGACAACATACCAGCTGAAGCACTGAAATCAGACATCGAAGCAACCACAAGCATGCTTACCTTCTATTCAAAAAGATTTGGGAGGAGGAACAAGTGCCGATGGACTGGAAAGAAGGACACCTCGTCAAGATTCCAAAGAAAGGAGATCTGAGCAAATGTGAAAACTACAGAGGCATTACACTACTGTCAATACCAGGGAAAGTCTTCAACAGAGTGTTGCTGAACCGGATGAAGGATGCAGTAGACGCCCAACTTCGAGATCAACAAGCTGGATTCCGTAAGGATGGTCGTGCACAGACCAAATTGCAACACTACGGATCATCTCGAACAATCAGTGAGTGGAACTCTCACTATACATCAACTTCATTGATTATGAAAAGGCATTCGACAGTGTAGATAGGAGGACATTATGGAAACTTCTTCGACACTACGGAGTTCCTGAGAAGATTGTCAATATTATCCGGAACTCATACGACGGACTACAGTGCAAAGTAGTGCATGGAGGACAGCTGACAGATGCATTCCAAGTAAGGACTGGAGTCAGACAAGGCTGTTTACTCTCTCCCTTCCTCTTTCTTCTGGTGGTCGACTGGATTATGAAGACCTCGACATCTGAAGGAAAACACGGAATACAATGGACAGCTCAGAATCAATTAGACGATTTGGACTTCGCAGATGACCTAGCCCTCCTATCACGTACACACGAACAGATGCAGATGAAGACAGCCAGTGTAGCAGCAGTCTCTGCATCAGTAGGCCTCAGCATACACAAGGGGAAAACCAAGGTCCTCAAATTCAAAACGGAGAACAGCAATCCAATCACTCTTGATGGCGAAACTCTGGAAGATGTAGAATCCTTCACATACCTGGAAAGCATCATCGATGAACAAGGAGGTTCAGATGCAGACGTAAAGGCGAGGATCGGCAAAGCAAGGGTCGCATTCCTACAATTGAAGAACATATGGAACTCAAAACAACTTTCAACCAATATCAAAGTGAGAATCTTCAATACGAACGTCAAGGCAGTTCTACTGTATGGAGCTGAAACTTGGAGAACTACAACAACCATCATCAAGAAGGTACAGGTATTTATAAATAGCTGTCTACGCAAGATACTCAACATCCATTGACTGGATACCCCCAGCAACAGCCTTTTGTGGGAGAGAACAAATCAGCTTCCAGCTGAAGAGGAAATTAGGAAAAGACGATGGAAATGGATAGGACATGCATTACACAAATCATCAAACTGCATCACGAGGCAAGCCCTGAGTTAGAATCGTGAAGAGAAGCGGAAAAGAGGAAGTCCAAACAACATATTGCGTCGGAAAATAGAAACAAATATGAAAAGGATGAATAACAACTGGAAGGAGCTGGAAAGGATTGCTCAGGACAGGGTTGGATGGCGAATGCTGGTGAGCGGCCTAGGTTCCTTCACGAGGAGTAACAGGCGTAAGTAAGTAAGTAAAGTTGAATGTATGAAATAATATTTAATTCAGGATTAAGTGATAGATACTGAATGACTACGCCTCAGTAACTCTAACCGTTTTGGATAGTGTTGCTCAACGTCTCCAAGCTGTAAAGGTATTCATAAAGTGTTACTAACTTGTGTCTAAGACTTTTGGATATTATTAAAGGAAGAAGATGATGTTTCATTGAACTAATCCAGTATTGCCTAGCGCTTTAGTAGACTTTTACTGTGCACGTGGTTATGAAAAAGTTATTCACAAATTATCTAGTTCTTTTTTTTTACTGTTAATCAAACATTCTGTTACTAAAGCAACTATATTTTGCTGTAATTTTTAGGGAAGTTTTATTTAATTAATAATTAAAAATGTGTCATTAAAAGGTCACGAATTGCTTAGTTCAAAATCTATATACTCAGTTATGTGCATCTCTATTTGTTAAGTTTAATATTTAATGTCTTTTCACAATTAGCTATAACCTTTGATTAAAATTTACTTCAAAGTGAATAGTTTGCGTGAATCTATCTTTCTAATTCATATCATTTACTCACTTGTAACTAGCTTGTTATTA